AGAAAAAAAAAACATAGACCTATTTTCTGAGAGACTATGGTGTAAGTCTTTTTATTATACAAGCAAATTTGGATTTAGAAGTGCAACCGGTTTATCACTTCTGCTATACTCAGTAACTTATTTACATTTCACCCAGTGTCCCAGCTTTTGAGGAATTATCTGTATCATCATTTATTGTTTGGTTCAGATATATATCTACCGACGTTGTCACTATGAAGAATTCTATTGTAGTTTATTATTATCCGACAATATAACACTAGGAATTCACAAAGGGAGGAGAACAAAGAGACTGTAGTTCTTCACACTAGACCCACTGGGATTCATTATTTTGCCCAGGGACAGTTTTTAATGGATGCTAAATTACAGACAGCTGTTGGCCTCCTGTGCCCATACTGGCAAAACTCTACAGTATTTTCAAGCCCGATTCCTGTCTGTGAGTTGCTGTTCCAATTTTTACCACAACTCCTCTTGGCAACACTCTCTTGGTGCCTCTGGTCATGCATGTAAGCAGAAAGAGAAAAAAAAAAGATGGATGGGTTTTTTGGCACTACATTACATCATACTCTGGGTAGACCCACTTATTAGTGAAAAACACTTATCTACAGCTTCTTTAATAATATGCTTAAAGTTGTGACTTAGAAGTCTACTTGTCATTTGTTTTTGAAAGAACAAAAACAGAAAGGGGTGGGTTAGAGTTAACCTGCCACTGTCACCCCTCTGAAACATGAAATGAAGTAGTCACAACCCCATTCAAATGATTTATGTAACAGAGAGTAAATCTTGCACCTTGAAGGTGTTATGTGGCGATGACGGACCACATTTGCAACAAAGTGCCCAGGGGGTTATAAAGCAAAAGAAAACCACTGCGATTGCTATATGAGAGGCCGGTCTTCGCTGGGGTTGCTAGGTAACGGTGCAGTGCTCATTGATTGTGACTCAACAATTGGAGGGGTTTTTGAAACAGCTCATTCATCAGACACCATAAAACATTAGCTTATTGACAAAAAAAAAAATTTAAGTGCTTGGGCTGTTTTCAGAAACAGTTAAGATCCAACTGGACATACAATAACATGCACAACGTGTATAATACGTCCTCCTTAGAATAGGAGATATCTGACACTTATTTTGTGTGGAACCACTTACATAGACACCGAGCATCCTTTGGTTTCACTCTATTCTTGCAACTAAACATCTTTGCAGGTTATGGTCAGTCGGATTGGTGATTTATGAGCTAGCTTAGAGAGCTAATCTCTGGCTAAGCTTTTGTATTCAGTTTATTCAGGTACCCTAAAACAGGTATATTTGTTAAACTCTGATCTTAAAACAGACTCCTGTGGTTCACAATCTGGCCTGCCCAAATGTTGAGTGTGTTTTATTAAGGCGATCGTTGACCTTGGACCTACGCAACCTATCCTGGTAGCGTAGGTCCTGTAGTCTCCAAGTAAGATTGAATTTCCTACTTTTACACTCACTAAAATAAAGCCAGTCAAAATTAGTTTAAAACCTTGGCAGGCTTACTCCTTTCCTGCCTCAACTTCTTGCTACCATCCAGTGGTGATTGAACATCTTGTTCATCAAATGAGCAAAAATTGCTTCACTTGTCTAGCCAGAACTACGCTGTCCTGTTCGGTGAATTTTATGGGATGACGGGCTGTACTCAAACTTTGGCAGGAGTTGTGTCGAACCACTCTGGGTCCTCCCGATCCCCCATAAGACCTTGTCTAATAGCCTTTGCCACTTTTGGAATACTTCACACATCTGTCAAAACAGATCAATTGAGTTCAAACAGATGTCAGAGGGGCAAACCGAATTGCCACAGGCCAGTGCATTCTTCCTCCTAATGTGTCACTGTGTGTGTGCGTGTGTGTTTGTGTCGAAGGCACAGGCCAGTCAAGCAGACTCCTTCAGACAGAAGGCATTCAACAACATCAACAACCCAAGCCCCCTCTTCATCCTATCAGCCTGTCTTTTCTCCTGTCATGTCACTGACCCTCTTGCCCCTTTTGTTGCACTTCCATACCCTCTTGTCATGCCTGCTTGCTTACTTTCACTCCAAATACAATTTCTTCCAATTTTCTCTGAACAAAAAAGTTCAGTTTATCCAGTCTGCTTGTCTTATCCAAATGCATTGCCTCCAACTGCCTCCCTCCTTCACAGCAATCAAAAGCTCGGCCTCCTCGTACACCGACAGATTGACCAGATCTCATCACTCAGGCAGCCAGTGCAACCGCAGAAGCAGCAGCAGCCGCAGACTGAGCCAAACTGAGCAGGAAACCCTAGTCAAAGCTCTGCCCTGAGTGCACAAAGTGCAAACACATGCAGGCAAACAAGCAGAAGATCACCACATGGAGGGAGATGTGTCATTCATTCACACTGACATTTCTGTTGTGACCTCTGTAACACTCGCACATGCTCACCATCCCGTTCGCCACTCATCTGGCTAACCGAAGTGAGCTAAATTGTTGATTTACAAGCACACAATCGACACACACGCACACGCGCATACAGATTTACGCTCATATGTGGTGGGCCTCTTCCAAGTATTCTAAAGGTGGAAAATGGTGCACAATAAAAACAGTCATGTCTTGGCGGTAAGCGATTATTCATCACTGTAATCTAAATAATTTCCTTAGCGTTCCATACAGGAGGTCGGATTAGGTCTGAAACACTGCTCCCAAGTCTGCTGGGGTTTGTAATTTGGAATATTTCACTTATAGCCCACATAAGGTATAAATTATGTCACAATAAATATGAAGGCAAAAGTAGGGGGTGAAAAAAAATGACATTTCTAGATCCATTTCATTACAACCGTTACTCCCCCAACCTCCTCGTCAATATAATCCCCAGACTTAGAGAAATGAATTCCTTCACCACTAGGCTGACGCAGAGGGCCTCAAAAAGAAGTCATGGACCCCCTGAAAACCTTGCACCAAAGGCTCTGGAACAGTAAATATTTGTAATCCTTAGAAGCCTTGTCTATCTCAGGGCTCCAAGAATCTCCACAACACCACCCAACACACCCACCACCCACTCACACAGCGCTCTTACTCAGAGCGCCCACTGAGCAAGAGTCCTAATAACCAATGAGACATTTCCTGTAAAAAAAAAAAAAAAAAAAAGAGATGTCAGTGCATGTGTAACTCCAGAGGTCCTTTCACTTTAAAATACATTGGCTCTCTGCAAAGGTAAAGCACTTTATTCAACTGATGAAGGAATTTTGTCTTTTGGATTGAACTTATCAATCATAGGTTCCCATTTTTTCTGCTAAAATGGTCAGAAAATTTTGTTTTTCAGAGTTTAAAATCACAATAAATCGATATGCAGCACCTTTAGAAGTAGTTTCACATATTTTTGGACCACTACAACCAGTAGTGTATTTTCTTAAGATTTTACACGATAGATATAGATCAACACAAAGTAGTGCACAATTGTGTAGTGGAAGAAAAATCAGAAAAGCGTAAAAAAAAATTTAAACAAACGAAAACCCTTAGAAGTGTAACCTATATGTTCTGTGAAAGCCTCAGAGGTTTGTTAGTGAACAAACATGATGAAGACCAAGGGACACAGCAGACAGGGCAGGGAGAAAGTCTGAAACAGGGTTAGATGATAAAATTATATCCCACAGAGCTTCAACCATCATCTGAACATAGAAAACCTCTGCCAGACGTGACCGTCCACCTAAACTGGCAATCAAAGGAAAGGACAGCATTAATGCAGAAGCAGCCAAGAGGCCAGTGGTAACTCTGGAGGAGCTACAGAGTTCCACAAGGAACTTTTGACAGGCCGAAGTTGAGAGTTTTATTTTTAGATCAAGCTAAAATTAGTACAGTCCACAGTTTGTCACAAGCCATAAAGAGGAGACAGTAAACACATGCTGTTCTGGTCCAATGAAACCAAAACCTTGAGCATGATCTACCTCCTGTGACATATGGTAGTGGAAGCATCATGGCGTCACAATGTTCTGGGGAAATGAATGAAGGGCAATCCTGGATGAAAATCTGTCAGAGGCAACGGAAGACCTGAGACTAATTCAGAGGTTTATCTTCCAGCGCATCTGTATTTGAGGACGGCCCAGTCAAAGTCCAGACTTAAATCCAATTGGATGCCCGCAGCAGGACTTCAAAAGTACATCCAATCCACCTGGGATTTACTAAAAAGAAGAATGCTCAAAAACTTAAGTCTCCACATTATTTGCACATGTGCTGCCATGGTTTAGAAACACCTTCAAACTATGCAGCTGTGTTCTTTCAGCCAAAAGCATTAACTCATAACTAACTCACTATGCTGTATGCATGTCAGACTTTTCAGGTTTGTAAAACCAATTTGAAAACATGTAATTTTTTTATTATTATTTTCAAATTCATGCAGGGGTTGGCGATATGAACATAGAATTTTATCACAACATTCTTGTGATAATGATAAAAATTATGATTAAAAACTATTGCTTCTTTTTTAGGTAACTGAGTGACATAGTTCATAACGTCACAAACATAAATGCTGCTCTTGAAAATTTGAAAGAAGCTTCTCCAGGATGCCACAGACTTAAAGAAGTGTTATTTACTTCATTTAATCATATTTTCTAATTACTGATGCTGGAACAAACAATGGAGAAAATAATAATTAAAAAACATAACGTATTAGTCCGTGTTTTAAACATTAACTGGAATTTATTGTGGTAACGATAAATCAAAAATCTTAACCTGACAATAAACTTATCAAGATAAATGATAAACGATATGATAATTGCTCGCCCCTATTTATGCAACCCTGCCTGTCGGTCTATCTGATAAAATTCCAATAAAATTTAATCTTGCATTTGGAACGTGAAGAAAAGCCAAAAACTGTTTCACTCATGCTATGAGTGAAACACTCATAGCATGTGTTTACTAAACTAATTAGTTGACTAATTAGTTTAGTTCACAAATGACGTCGAAATATGTCGAGGTGTCCAAACATTTAATTATTAATTAAACAATGTCGTGTTTCCCCCGTGAGCTTACCTGTGTCTGCTCGCCGCTCTCTGACCTGCCTGAACGCTGGAATCGGCGACATATCCAAGACCCGAACCCTCCCGGGTCAACACGAAGGCGAGTAGGTAAAACAAAGTCTCCATCGTTCCAAACAAATCACTGTCACGAAGGTCCAAAGCGTCTCCAGGTTATGTCAGGTTCGCCCTGGTGTACGCGAGCCTCAGTAGCGTGCCGACGGAGCGTGGACCGGCAGAACCAAAGCTTCAGAGTGAGTGGATCCGGCTGCAGGGTCCGAACATGTGTGGTTCAGACGGTAAACTGCTGCTGCTGCTGCTGCTGCTGAGGAGAGGAATGAGAAAGTTTCCTGTCAGACTTCCAGCATCTGAATGGCAGCTCCGGGTCTCTCTCTCTCTCTCTCTCTCTCTCTCTCTCTCCGTTTGTGACAGCGCGCGCCCTCCCTAACCCCATCTACGCGCACACATACGCATCCAATCTGCCGTATTTCCTTTTCTGTTTCACTTTAACATTCAACAGAAACCGCATCACTGGCAGTGAAAATATTTCTGGACCTTTCCAACAAGTAATCTTACATCTACTGTAAATAACGCTGCTGAGGAAATCAAGCCCCCACGTATTGTATTCTTTGGAACAGGTGGAAGTTGTTAACAAGGAGCGTAGAAACTATTGTGCCACGGTATAGAAAACTATACAATTACATCTGAAATTCTTGTAGTTTCTTTTTGAGCAATGGGAAAACGAATTTCAGTCTTACTTGAAACTATCTAGTACATAATGACTTTATGATGGAGCTGAATGGTAGCTCTACTTTCCTTAATGTGTGGATGCATGGTTTAGTCTTGAGTAGTCAGAATATTCGTGTAGGAAACTAACTTATGATTAAGAAGAAAAGTTGCCACCAGTGATATTCATGGGTGAAACATGTACTGCTTATTGAACATGTGAAGTGTTTCCTGTCAGAGTCAGTCTAATAAAAAAAGAAAAGTGGTACAACAAACAAGAAATATTCTGTCAGACTAAAATAATGTTGTTTTTGGTTATCCATTCTCAATCCCTGTTTAACAAATGACTGTGCAGAGACTATACATTCTAAAGCATAGTTACTCTTACAGAATTATTGGTTGTAGTTTTAATAGCTTTCTACCACTTATAATCAGTTGCTGAGACATCATCTGGCTTTTTTTTTTACTTTACAATGGAAACTCAGATAAGAAAAGGGCAGGATAAATTAAAGTTCTGGGGAAAATAAATTCCAGGTCTCATATTAAAACACTTATACAGTTTGTGTCACACTTTACACATTTTAGAAGACTACAAGAGGCACATTGTGCCAGGAAAAAGTGTTAATTTGTTCCACTGACAGATAAATGTAGATCAACACTTTATTCATAACGTTATCCTTTATGAATAAAATCCAACATGACACTTTGTGTACATTTGTAGAACAGTATAAACGGTCAGTTTACATATTTAACAATAATTGTCCTTTCTAAGCGTTCCATTACTGATTTAGCTAAAATGCTGTAAGATGGTTGTTAATGAGGAGCTGTATCAGCTGTGAAATAAAGTTGATTCCTGATTATTAAAACCAATATCTAAAAACTGCAGCTCACAATCCAAAATTGCCTAATTGCAAATGTTTACTCCAAGGGGAGAAATAACTATGAATAAGAGTTTGCTAAATGAAAAAAATATTATTAATTACAATAAAAGAAAGTATGAATCAAAGTACCATGTGGTAGAGTTAACTAAAGGGGACTGAATGCTAATGTCCAGCACTTTTTTTGACTTAATTGTAAAAAGAAAAGAAAACATATATGATTTTGACTCTACTTTAGACTTATGCTCCTGTGTTTATAAGTCTATTTCATGCAATCAAAAATACACACACACACTAATTAGGTTTTTTAGCTAATTTTGACTAACTGATTAGACTAAATTAATGTTAGCCACCATGCTAGCACAAGCCAACGTAATATTGATAGCATTTAAGCTAACGTTACCTTTTTAGCTAAATTTTGACTTAAAAGCTTAAATTGACTGACTGGAAAAAATTTTATGTTAGCCATCATGCTAGTGTAAGCCAATATGATACTGATATTTAAGCTAATGTTAGCTTTTTTTTTTTTTTGCTAATTTTGACTTAGAAGGCTAAAGTTGACTTTCTGAATAGACTACATTAATGTCAGCCATCATGCTAGTGTAAGACAACATGATGTTGATAGCACTTAATCTAATGTTAGTTTTTAACCAATCTTGACTCATATGTAAACACGAATATTTGTTGCTGCAATGTAGAAAAATGAAAAGGGTGTAAATATTTTTTTTATCACTCAGCATATTGTAGATTCTTCTCGTCTGCACTAATTAGTCGATTTTCTTGCCGAAATGACCTCAAAGCTAATCTGTTACTTGGATTGGTCAAAGTGTATGTATTCCCAGTGATATGCAGGGCCCTTGCCTCACTCTTTCTAATCAAAGTCGATCCTTAAACACTCATGCTGTCTGCTCTGTGTCCCTGACTCAAATTTGCCCAACATGCACACACACACACACACGCACGCACGCACACACACACACACACACACACACACACACACACACACACGCACACATGCACACATGCACATCTGCATGTAAGTAGCAACTCCTTATCTGCTGGATAAGGAGGGTGTTTACAAGGTGTGATTGATGTTGTTGTCTTCATGAAGCCAAGAGACACTCCTGACTTCAGGCCTTGATTTATGTTGCACTTCATTTCCCTTTCTACCATTTTTTCTCCTGTTGTTACGTGGATCCAAAGTTGGAGCACATTAGATGCCAAAAAGTTAAAAATAGGATGCTGCAGGCTCAGCAGATCTGCTGTGCGTCACAGCGTTCCAGAAGTCGGTTTGAATTCCACGTCTGTCCGCTGGATTGTCTTTGCGCAGTTTACTGAAACACATTTAGACTAACTGGACTCCAGATGTTGGCACTGTGTGAATCAAAAGGATTCACTCTTGGAAATGGTTCAGCCATCTTTCCTTTGAGCAGCCTTCTAGAGATCCTTCATACCTGGCTTATTTCTGTTTACTTTTATTGTCTTTAAAGCCTTTATAGAGGAATGCCCAGCTCAGCAGCCCTCCCATCAGAACACTAATAATCCCTGCTGTTCGGTGACAGCACTCCCCACAGAGAGCCGGGCAAGGTTTACCAAGACGAGACCAGAACAGAAGCACACAGCCACATGCTAGAGTGTGATTTTAAACAGATACTTGGTTACTTTGTATTTACTTGAGCCTGGAACATTAATCAGATGAGTAAAAGAACTGCGTTTCGCTCTTGTACACAGTTTAACAAACTAGCCAAGATGTTTCTCTGTTTTTCTTGATCTGTCATCCCTATGTCTGTGTTTGACAGCTGGGAATCAAACCCTGCAAGTTTAATGTAGTATTCCCAGCAATGAGATGCCTGAATTTTTTTGTAGAGCAAAACATTTTTTTGAATGCTTTGCTAAGACATTCAAACCCCTTTGAACTTTTGCAGTACTTTCTATGTCGCAATCACAGACTACAATGTTTTTATTGGGATAGATCAACAGAACTCAATGAATTACTGTGAAGTGCAAGGAAAACGTAGGATGCATTTTACTCTAATACCCTTAAAGAAAGATTTGGAGTGATTACGGACTGACATGTTGCGTTTCAGTTGTATGGAACTGGAAAATTTCAACTACAAGTCGGAAAAATAAGCTGGAACGCTTTCCCAAGTCAAATTTTCCACTTGGATAGCGGAAGCAACTCCGATTACCCTTAGCTACAACTTGTAATACCAACTTTGCGTTTCAGTATGCCCACTCCTCATGTCAACAGCAGTAAGCTGTAGTGGAAACATGTATTTTACAAGACCCACTTGCAAGAGTGTGTCTAAAATCAATGCTACGGGTAAAGTTTATTGAAAGTTTATAATTATGTTTGTAAGAGGTATTACAACCAATTCCATGCTGACATCCCAGCTTCTCCGACTCTGTCAAATGGAACGCCATGACATCAAACCTGGCTCCGAGTTCCAACTTCCAAGGTAACTGGAACACAGCATATGGTGGCTGATTTGCTACTTTTCAGATTCTGAAGTGTAAATACTTTCAATATGTATTTTTTTCACTTTAATTCTGCATTTCTTTATGTTGGTCTATCACACCAAATCCCAATGAGACTACAAGTGTTAATTTCAGTCGTTCTAAAAAATTATTTTAGAACATAAAATACAAATGTTATATATATGCATATGAAATATGACTTAAAATAAATTTGACACCATAACAATGCCTTCTGTGAGCTCAGAAGCTTAGAAACTGCAGCTCAGAGGAGGAGCTTTGTCTTAAAGGTGGAGCTAGGTCCAACCAAACGTTTTCCACAGCTGAATGGTTGCCACGAGAGACTGAAGGATTTCTCAAACATGCATGAAAGAATCAAAGCAGCACTCCAGGTGTGTTTTTGATAAGGGAATAACATCATAACATGATGTAAATCTCTAAAAAGTGGGTTTTACATGGTACTACGCCTTTAATTTGTGGTTGTAACACGCCAGCACGTGAAGAAGTTCAAAGAATGCTTTGCAAGGCGCTCTAAACAGAAAATCATTTTCAGTCACAGGAAGCCCACAGCTCTCTTTCTGCAGAGCACATGGTTCATTAGAAACAGCTGCAGGCAAGAACATGGCTACTGTAGCTTTCAAATGATGTGTGGCTGGTGTGAGACACTAAGCAGGCCGCCCTGAAGTGATAAGGCTGAGAATAAATGAGGGGCCTCCATGAGCCATGTGATGCACAACACTACCCAGATGGAAGAAGGGCCTGCACTGTTACGGGAGGAGGCTGAAAGCGAGGGCGGAGGTTGTGAAGAGGAATGACGTTCATCACGTAGGAACGCACAAAGTGCTGCTCATTCCCCCCTCTGTTTAATACTATAAATCCTGTGGAAGCTATTATTCCAGACAGCTTCAGATGGACAGTCCCACCCTGCTCAAATTTAGCCAAATTCCTACTCCGACATGACTTTCCTCTCCAAATTTAAGCCTTCCTGTGATTCATTTGTAGAAATTCCCAAATCGGTTAAGGATGCGAGCAGCTTTAGTGACTTAATAGTCTTGGAGGTTCATCATATGTCATACTGCTGTTGCACTGCAAATCTTGCCAAGTAGTTTTGGTCTCGTTTATAATGCAAATATCTTAGCACACTTGAAATAAGACAAAACTAACTTACAAGTAACTTTTCAACAAGCTACAGGAGCTTATTTTAAGGTAATAGTTCCTGAGTCTTGATTAAAAAATACAGGTTCAACTGGCAGAACATTTCACTTGTAACCTGGGAAAATGTTTTGTTACAAGTGAAA